AACCTATCACGCCTATTTCTTATTGACTTCCATAGAATCCTCTGTTTTATTCTTTCTAATACCTCTTCGTTTCTAACCTTCTCTATCCACGGTATCCTCATCATTCGCCTGTAACACCATATTTCATTGATTTTACATCTCGAACGTAACAAAGGATAATGTTTTACACAATTGATTAGCATATTTTTGCCTTTTTGATATGTTAAAGTGAAAATATAATACAATTTCAAGAAAACATTTTTTTTTTCAGCACTCGACGCAAGTGGAAAACCCGCATCCAGTTTCCTATGGGGAAACAATCTCTGGATTGGCTCCGAAACGGAGTGTTCCAATATCATGAACAGAAAGCCATTAGAAATTAATCACGAAAAAATAGAACACTATCATCGCACGCCGTACGATTTTCCCCCATATCCTTTAGATTTTGTATTGGTCAGAATGGTGCACAATAACATTCTCCAAAGGCATACCCATATGCCCCTGGAGGTAAACAAACACTTTTAACTTTTTACAGTCAAAGTTTACTTTATATGAAAAAAACCATAATATCCATTTTTTTTAAATTGTCATTCTAAGAATAATAATAAGTAAATAAAGATTTCCTAAATTTAATGCTCCTCGTTACTGATTGCTTTCTGTTTTTTTTTCGGAAATCATTAATTTGTGGCAACAGTAAGAATACTTAATTGTTATTCGCTGTATAATTTTTAGAAGTCAGTTTTGTTTATTCGGAAAATGGTATGGTCATTGTAAAAGAATTTGTGTACAATATTTAAAAGAATACCAGCAATACCTGTTGTGTATTTATAGTATTAAAAAATTTGTAAAATCCCAAGCGACTATAAATATTTTGAGGGTGACTCTACCGAATAATTAGTTTTGTTTGTTTCAAAATTGACAGATAGTGGTATGAAAAAAAATGTTAAACAAGAAGTAAATATCATTTAACAGATTGTNTTGACTTGGAAGTGGTGTATTGATATTGATATCATGCTTTCTTAAGATGCCGGCATTAATACTTAATTAATTATGTAATATGCTAATCATTTTAAATCGTAAAGTGCTAGAGGCCTCGAACTTTAATATTTACAATTGCGCTCTTAATATAAAAAACCGCGACAATGTTTTCGCTTTTTTTTTTTGGTAATTGTATATGAATGTTAGTATTATGAATAAAATATAGGCGATAACATAATAAATAATGACTTTTATGTTAAAATTACTTACACTTAATGTTTGATAACGTTTTACAAAAGGTTATAAAGTGAATTGTAAAATTTTGGTGATAAGTTTTAGGCGTCAGTAACAATCAGCAAAAATCTATATCGAATTAATTAATTCTTAGTTGGTGTATGACTAATTTACACGTAAAAATCAAAATTACTTTTATTTTCTAGTAAATTAGTTAATTAACTACATTGGGATTCCCTTTCAGAAGGAAGAAAATAGAATTATAGGAACACTACCGTTTTTATTATTTATTTTTAATTAGCTCCATTCTCAATATTAGTGAAAAAACATAGATGAAACATAATAAACTTAAAATGAACATTTTTATAATATAAAAATAACAATAACAGTCTTAAAAACAACATAACAAAACAAAAATAAAAAAAATTGCGCCTAACCTCATCGTATCGAAAATTTATTATCTTTAGGTTGTGATTATTTCCCTAGTGAAGAATTTAATTGATCCAATAATCCCATTCATTTAAATAATTAATCGATTGTTTTGATTAATGAATTTTATTTTCATTAATCTAAATAAATAGTTGGTTATTATGATTAATCGCAAATTTCATAATCGATTGATTTTAAAAATAAAAATAATCTATCAATAATAATCAATTATATTTTCCATTAAATTTCAATTAATCG